CCCCAAAACCCCAAAACCCCAAAACCCCAAAACCCCAAAACCCCAAAACCCCAATGACCAAATTAGTATTTGAAAAATATGCAAAATATATTATATTTAAATTAGTTATTTCTCTTCTGATTTTCAGGGATCCGGCTCTGATCATCACCTACTCTCTTCTTCTTAGGCCTTTTCACATATTTCCCGTCATTATTGACAACCTTAGTTCTAGAGATGGGTTAGAGAGGGGGGAGGTTTACTTACCTGAATTCGATCGTATCCTTGCTCATTTTGGGCTTGTTCTTCTCCTTTGGTGAGTATATAAACTCCTCTTGATTGTTATTAAACCTAGGACTGACTCCCACAGTTGGAGAATAATGGCCGAAACCATTAGATCAGAACAAAAATGAAGCATTCTCAGCTTTAATATTGATTCTATCCATTGACGAGGATAGGTTTGAGACTACCACGCTGATCTTCTCACCTCAATTTTTACAAGTGATATGCTTTTTGTCTCTGGAAATTTTCTCAAAATCCTTTTGAGCTTTTAGGGCTCCAATTAATTTCTCATTCAATGTGTAGAGCTCCTTCGAGCGCTTGTTTATCTTCTGGTACTTATCCTTCAGCATCTTGTAATTCTTCTGCAACGAGTAGTTCTTATGCTGATAGTATTTCAAATTCTCTTGCATTTTGTCTGGATGATCTCCGATGTCCAAAGGATGTTGAGGACCTTTCATGTAAGTCACATTCCTAGCCACAGCAGGGCTCTTTACATCTCGTGATTGGATACCATAGAATGACATTGTGTTGTGCTCACTGGCTACAAAGTCTGAATTAAGTATTTTATTGATTTCATCTTCATTGTTCACCTGGTTCTCTAGCTCTTTGATTCGAAATTTGGCCTTCTTCAACTCGCCTCTCAAGCTATTTACTTGCTGCCTCAACAACTCTATCTCAATATCTTTACTAGATGTAGTTTGTAAAGATGCTGAAATAGTTTTCTCTATGACCTCGCCTAGGCCTGTGCCTTTCTTTTCATTAAAAATTCTGTGTGACATCAATAAGATTGCTATTAGCTCTAGGGTCATAGTTAGGATTGTTCTGGATTTCCTCTAGCTCCTTCAGCCTCTCCTCCAACTTTATCTCCTCCTCTTCCATAAATGGGGAACTTTTGTACCTTGCCTTGCGCTTATTTTTAGTCTCTAAATTTTGCATTGTCTTCTTCAAATCAGAGACCTGCTTCCACAGTCTTTTGTTCTCCTCGATGATCTTATCATACGTATCATCTTTCCTCTGGATCGGGCTCCTAAGAATCAACACGGCAGGCTTACTTAGAATAAGAAATATTTTTAATATTAACCTTCCTTTTCCTACGTTCCATACTTTAATATTCTATATAATTATTTTAAACTGGGGTTTTGGGGTTTTGGGGTTTTGGGGTTTTGGGG